TGAAATTGAAGCTAAGGTAGCATTGCAAGAAATTCATGAAGGAATTTGTGCAACTCATGCAAGTGGGCATATGATGGCTAGACAAATGCAACGATCCGGGTACTTATGGATGACCATAGAGAAAGATTGCATGGATTATGTCAGGAATAAAGTTGGATGGATAACTTTTGATGATGCACCGAATGTGAATTCCAACCCTATACCCAATCATGCTACAAGTAGTGGAGGGTTGAATGCTGGAGGAGTAGAGGGTAAGAAGGAAAGAGCTTTGAAGGTTTCCATGGAAAAACTATATGGTATGCTGGTACAGTCTGGATATTTATCTGAGTTTGAAATAGTAATAAATGGAAATAATTACTGTAAGTTTCATGGCGAGGTGGGACATCACATTGATTATTGTGAAGAATTTCACCAAGAAGTGAAAAGGATACTGATTTTCAGCATGATACGGATAGAAAGTGAAGAAGAGAGCAGTGAAGTTGGGATGATAGGCCATTAGGAGAAAAAAATGCAGGTTTGTAGACTCCAACCAACTGTGGGTGCTCCACCAAAACTAATCCTAACCAAGCCTGTATGCATAAATAATGGAAGTTATGGCACAATGCCTTACAATTATAGGTATTCTTTCAACATTAAGAATCCTACTCCTATCTTTCATACTGAAATTGGTGGTTTAACTCGAAGTGGTTGGTGTTTTACACTAGAAGAATTAGAGAGGTAGAGGAAAGCTAAAGGAAAAGAAACAGTTGATGCTTTTAAAGATATGGAAGTGAACAAACCTATAAGTGAAGAGGAGTCCAATGAATTTCTAAAGTTGATGAAGCATAGTGAGTATAGTGTGGTAGATTAGTTAAAGAAAACTCTTGCTAGAATCTCTTGAATGTCACTTATCTTGAGTTCTGAGTTACATCGTAAAGCATTGCAAAAGGTGTTGAATGAAGCAAATGTACCACAGGATATTACTCAGGATATAATGGAACATTTGGTGAGAATAATTCAAGCCTCCAATTACTTATACTTCACTGAAATGAGCTAGACCTAGAAGGGACTGGGCATAATAAGCCTTTGTACATAACCGTGAAATATAAGGATTGTCTGATCGGTAAAGTGCTTGTGGATAATGGTTCAACTTTGAATGTGCTATCAAAGCATATTCTAGATGAGATGCCAATTGATGCTACTTATATAAGGCCAAGCACTATGACAACTAGAGCATATGATGGTTCCCCTAGACAGGTAATAGGGACCATTGACATTGAATTGTTTGTAGGGTCTCAGATGTTTTTGATAACCCTATAAGTGATGGATATCCATTCGTCATATAACATGTCATTAGGAAGGCCATGGATACACGCCTCTGGGGCTGTGACATCATCTCTACACCAATGTCTGAAGTACATTATCAATGATATTCTAGTGAAAGTTAAGGCAGAAGAAACCTTGTCCATGATAAGGAATGTGTCGGTCCCTTATATTGAAGAAGAAGATTGCAAAGATGGAAATCTCCATGCCTTCGAGATTGTGAACACTGAATGGGCACCAGAGAATAAGGTGTTGAGAAGACCAATTATTTCTGATTCTGCCAGAATGACAGCTAAGTGCTTTTTAAAACATAGGCTACCATTCTAGAATGATCCAATTACTGGAAATCTTAAGAGAATCAACATGATAAAAATTAAGGCTGCTGATCAGAGGTTTGGGCTTGGCTTTAAGCCTAAGAAAGATGATCACAAAAGAGTTGCTAGGATAAAACGAGAAAAAAAGGTTGGCCAAAATAGAAGGAAGAAAGCCAGAGGAAGAAGACATTGTAATCCCACCTATCCATGTTTCTTTTCCAAAGTCAGCATATGTGATGAAACCTGAAAACATGATGAAAGTATTGGGACAAAAACTTGTTATCATGGATATTAACAATATAGAGGAAAGTGAAAGGAAAGGTTGGAACTATGATAATGAGCAAAAAACAATAAAAGAAGATGAATTGTTGTCTCAGTTAACTGTTTATTATCTAGAAGAGGCTCCAACTAGCGCCTTTGTGCGAAAGCTTTTAGTTGAAGAAGTATTCTAGAATTGGGAGATTGAAGAAGCCCTAGTTGTTTTCAAGAAGTAATGATTAAGCGTTTACTTATATTTGCTTTTATGTGCTCTATGTGCTTTGCATTGTAGTTTGCTTTTGTGTTTTTATACCTAGTTGGAAATCTTGGCTCAAGATGTCAACATAAGGTCTTTTTATAATTGTTGAGCCAACTTTTAAAATATTATTGAGATCATGCATTTCCACCAACAATTGTTATCTTCCTTTTGTTTTGTTCGGCTACAAGATATGCATTCACACTAAAAACACCTTCCGCTTTTAGGAATTCTGAAAGCAAGTCCTCCATAAATCCACAAACATATTGCATTGAAAATGAATGGCCAAACTTTGATAAGGATGAGATTGCAATTGATGAAGAGGAATGGAATGAAGAGTTTACTAGACGAGTAGAACAATCGGAGCATGCTTGGAAACTTGCAAAAAAAGAATTAGAGGTGATAAATGTAGGCACCGAGCAAGATAAAAGAGAGCTAAAGATTGGAATTCTGATTACTACAGAAGAAAGATGTAGTTTAACCTCACTACTACAAGAGTATATGAATGTGTTTGCCTGGTCTTATGCAGATATGTCTGGTTTAGACATTGATATTATAGTATACAGATTACCTTTGATAAAAGGATGTAAACCTGTTAAGCAGAAATTAAGAAGAACTCGCCTATACATTGTGCTCAAGGTCAAGGCAGAGATAGAGAAGTAGTGGGATACCAGTTTTTTAGAAGTTATTAAATACCCTCAATGGGTATCGAACATAGTGGTAGTACCAAAAAAGGATGACAAAATCAGAGTATGTGTAGACTTCAGGGATCTAAACAAAGCTAGTCCGAAAGACGATTTTCCTTTGCCTCACACAGACGTCCTAGTAGACAATGCTGCTAGGAGTTCAACTTACTCCTTCATAGATGGATTCTCCGGGTATAACCAGATTAAAATGGTTGAAGAAGATAAAGAGAAGACCACTTTTATCACACCATGGGGAAACTTTTGCTACAAAGTGGTGTCATTCGAGTTAAAGAATGCTGGAGCCACATATCAAAGGGCAATGGTGACACTTTTCCATGATATGATATATAAAGAGATTGAAGTGTATGTGGATGATATGATTGCCAAGTCTAAGAATGAAGAAGATCATGTTCAGGTTCTAAGAAAATTATTTGATAGACTAGGGAAGTATTAATTGAAGCTGAATCCTTCAAAATGCTCATTTGGGGTGAAGTCTGGAAAGTTGCTAGGATTTATGATAAGCAATAAAGGAATAGAGGTCGATCTTGATAAAGTGAAAGCAATCCAGGCTATGATAGTTCCTAAGACCGAGAAAGAAGTAAGAGGTTTCTTAGGACGTTTGAATTACACGCTCGATTCATATCTCAGTTAATAGCAACATGTGAGCTAATTTTTTGATTACTTCGAAAAAAGAATCCTGGTACATGGGACAAAGATTGTCAATAGGCTTTTGATAAAATAAAGCAATAATTATAGAATCCACCTTTGTTAGTGCCACCTGTGCCTGGAAGATCTTTAATCTTATATTTGACAGTAACTGAGGTAGCAATGGGTTGTGTGTTGGGACAACATGATGAGTTTGGAAGAAAAGAGCAAGCTATCTATTATCTGAGTAAGAAGTTTACCGATTATGAATCCAGATATACTATAACTAAAAAGCTATGTTGTGCTCTTGTATAAAGTACAAAGTGTCTTTGACAATGTATGTTGTATTATACCACCTGGTTGATCTAAAAAATGGATCATCTTAAATACATCTTTGAGAAACCCTACTTGTCAAGCCGAATAGCAAGGTGGCAAGTAATGTTGGCTGAGTATGACATTGTATACAAGACAAGAAAATCTGTAAAAAGAAGTGTAATTGCTGATCATCTAGCAGATAATGCTATCAAAGATTATGAGCCTTTGAAATTTGACTTCCCGGATGAAGATGTGTTGATAGTAGAAGAAGACAAAGAGAAGAATGATTGGTGGATAATGTATTTTGATGGGGCAGTGAATGTTTCTGGTAATGGAGCAGGGGCTGTGATAATCTCACCTAACAAGAAGCAATATCTCATCTCAATCAAACTACAATTTGAATGCACAAACAATACTGCTGAATATGAGGCTTGTATCCTTGGATTAGAAGCTGTTTTGGAGATGAAAATAAAGAAGCTTGATGTCTATGGGGATTCAATGTTAATAATCTGTCAAGTGAAAGGCGAATGGCAGACCAAGGAAGAAAAACTGATACTATATCAACAGTATCTCTCGAAACTAACTGAGGGCTTTGATGAGATAGATTTTACCCACATGGGAAGAGACAAAAACCAGTTTGCTGATGCTTTGGCAACCTTAGCTTCTATGGCCAAAACTAATTACAGAATCAGGGTATAACCAATTTGTATTGAGATTAAAAAATTTCCAGCTCATTGTTGTTCAATTGAAGGAGAAATAGATGGGAACCCATGGTTTTATGACATCAAGTGGTTTATCCAATATCAAGAGTATCCCTTGGGGGCATCTAAAGCAAATATGAAGACCTTGAGATGGTTGGCCATGAAATTTTACCTGGATGGAGAAATTCTATATAAAAGATCATTCAATGGGACTTTACTAAGATGTCTAGATGAAATTGAAGCTAAGGTAGCATTGCAAGAAATTCATGAAGGAATTTGTGCAACTCATGCAAGTGGGCATATGATGGCTAGACAAATGCAACGATCCGGGTACTTATGGATGACCATAGAGAAAGATTGCATGGATTATGTCAGGAAATACCATGAATGTCAAGTGTACAGTGATAAGATAAATGCACCTTCAGCTCCTCTATTTAATATGACATCACCATGGCCATTTGCAATGTAGGGAATAGATGTGATTGGGCCAATCAACCCAAAGGCCAGCAATATGCATCAATTTATCTTAGTAGCCATTGATTGCTTCACAAAGTGGGTGGAGGCTAGCTCTTATGCTTATGTAACTCAAAAGGTGGTTAAGTGTTTCATTGAGAAAGATTTGATCTGCTGGTACGGTTCACCTGAGAAGATAGTGACCGACAACGCCCAGGATTTTAATGGACAAATAATCACAGAATTATGTGTGAAATGAAAAATTAAACATTCAAACTCATCTCCCTACAGACCAAAGATGAATGGTGCTGTCGAAGTTGCAAATAAGAATATCAAAAAGATTATCCAGGAGATGGTAGTCACTATAAAGATTGACATGAGATGCTTCCCTTTGCTCTACATGCATATCACACAACAGTAAGAACATCTACTAGAGCTACACCTTACTCACTAGTATTTGGGATGGAGGCGGTAATGCCTTTGGAAGTAGAAATTCCATCTTTGAGAGTACTAATAGAATCTGAACTAGAAGAAGCTGAATGGGCTAAAGTGAGATATGAACAGCTAAA